GCAGCCAAAACGGGTGATGTTTTGGACAGCTAAAGTATGTGTTGTAATCAGAGAGAGGCTTAGAGGGCACATGACTTTATCCTCACAGATACAGCCAGAGAAGTGCAGGGTTTTCTGTGCATGCTTGAGGAAAAATGAGGACTTGATATGAGGAGGTGAATATGAGTTTCTAAGAACAGACGGTAAGGCAATGCGGGTAGCAGTAAAGATGTGTGCTTAAGGCATTACTGACTGGCTGTTAAGTAACTTCCTGCTTTTGCTAACAGTTTACACACTGGTTCAACAGGCAGCAAAGCACTTTGCACTAAGAAAACTGTCTATGTCATGATCATGTGTGTGTTGAGAACTTTCAAAGCATAATAAAAATTATTTACAGAGGCCTGTGGTTAAAGTCTCTCCTGGAATTGCCCAATAGCTCTCTCCAGAGCGTTGCCTTCTTGTAATGGGATGTTAGTCCTAGTGTCAAGTGGCTTAGGGAAGGATCATGAAGTTATCAAAAATGTTTCTGTGGTGTGGATGGGAAAGGTGCAGGAGCTGCTCTGCCTTGATGAGCAGTGTTGCTTATGTACTTGAAATGAAGGATGTTTTGTAAAGGTAATCTGCATGGTGCTGCGATCAGCGCTGGCTGTGCCAAGGTTCCACAGGCTCTGGAAGAGTTGTGTTTTAGTCTGAAAGAGGGGTTTGGCTCTGTTTATTATCCCCTGGTAGGATACAGATATTACCTGTGTGATGCTCTTTATCTTGCTGTGAGTGAAAACTCATTTTAGTATGCTCATATCCCTCCCCAGAGACAGTCCAGATGCAAGTGGCACTTGCCAGTGACCAAAGCACCCAGAATTACTTCAAATACCAAACAAAACTTGCCCTAAATTGTCTCCAATATCCTATCAGGATGAGCTCTTCCCAGGACTACAGTGTGACTTCTAAGAGAGTTCTCTAAGGCTGACAAATTCCAATGGCAAAAAAGTCAAGGATTTGCCTTTGACAGGGAGTTTCTGATGAATCTCGCCTGTCTGGTTTGGCGCTGCCACTCCCAGTTGTCTGCCCTGCCCCGTGCTTAAGGTCACTGCCTCTGTAGTAAGGTGGAGGTGTGTTGATGAAACAGTGTTTGCCTGCACCTAAACCAGCTGTGGTGAGTGCACTGCAAATAAATTAAACTACTGCTGAAGATGGGTTGGTGCTATCATGCAGGACTGGATCAGGCCCTTCAACAGAGACCTGTATCAGGCAATGTAAAACAGTAATACTGCAGGTTAACACACTAAGACATGGCAAGTGTATCCAGCAGTGCCATCAAAACCCTATGTTAGGAAGGGGTGGCAAAACCTGTCTCTTGTGGAGGATCTTCCTCCTCCTGGCAGTCCTTGCTTCAGCAGGGCCTGTTTCTTTGGGACAGACAGCTAGGAAAACTACTGGAGTTGTTATGATGTGAGAGCTCACAATGAGCCCTGTGTTACACAACTTAAGTAGAAACTTACTGCCCTGAAGAGCTTGCAGTCCTAAAAATGAAACCAAAATGCTATCCTGGCTTTGTGTTATTGTAAGAATGACACTTTCTCATTGCTATTTCACATGTATAATTAACCTGATACCAAGACAGCCCAATTCTGTATTAGGTATAATCCTTTGTGTTTTGCATGCACAGCAGAAGATGCAATTAGGTGTTGTTACAGCTCTTCTAAGATCCACTCCTTTGGGCTTCATCCTGTAACCTGTCTAAGTAGTTAGTAGACATTTTAATTCTTTTCTCTAATGCCTTAGTATGAGCTGGTGTGATTCTTGCAACATTTTGAATGCTTCATCAGTCACAAGCTAACTTCGAGCTCCTTGTGCAGTGGGGCAGCCTGTGCCTTGTAAGCCCTGCCCTATTCCCATGAATAGTAAAGCAGCAGTTACAGCTGGAAGCCGTTTATTTAGCTTCCCAGACAGGTTTCTGTGGGGCCATCCCAGGGAATCCAGAAATGCACCCAAGCCGGTACCTGAAATAGTACTTAGTCATAGATGGAAGAGTCTATTCAGTCACACACATGTGCTGATGCTTTCCCTGCACCACTAATGGACATTTTTGTGGCTGCTGAGCTTTCTGCATGTAATTGGCCATTTTAGTGGCAGCCCAATCACTTTCCCCTGAAAAGCCATTCCCACTGGAGCTGCTGCCTCAGTGCCCTCCATGTAGGAGGGGTGAAAGGGGTATTTTGTCCGCAGGAAACAAATGTAGCTGAATCCATCATTGTGAAAGAGGAATGCTGCATGACCTTTATGTGAGCAGCACACTTTTAACTGTTGCTTACTCCTGCCCTTGTCTCTGAAAAGATACTGGTAAACATAAACAATCATTTCCTTGCAGGCCATATTGACTTCAGTCTTAGCCATTCAAGGACTGAAAAGGGCTTGATATCTTCAAGAAAGACAATCAGCTTCTTTGCTTCTATCTTTGGAGCATACCATAAGGGCACAAGTAGTTTTTCTTTCCCTCTGAACATGTTTTGTATGTGGACTATCAAATGTAGGCTCCACCCCCAACAAGAAGTCAAAATAAGGGTAACACAAGATGGAACTCAGATTAGCTTACAAAGAGAGGTCTCAGCTTAGTTAAACTGCCTTAACTTGCATTTGCTGCATATTCATGTTGCCTCAAATGCTGTAACGTGGTCACATGTCTAAATGTAGCAGCCAGAATATTTTAAGGGCAATATAAGTGTTGATCGTAACTAAGGGAGAATTGCATTAAGGGTTATTTTATACACCTTCATAAAACTTCAGTTAGAAAAGCAAATGAACTTTCACACATTCTGAGTTATCTTGGTACAATCAAGAGGGCAAAGTTCCTTTAAAGGCACATTTCTTACACAGTACGTGCATACCAGACATTACAGCCTTACACGAGTGATGACGCTGAGTTAACTGGCAGCTGTTTCTAAAAAAAGCATAAATAAAAGCAAGTAGAATTTACTGGTTTTTAAGAACTAAACAAAAAGAAGTTGCTCTGATTGCCTTACATCCACTTTTTCTTTTGCACCAGCGAGCTGAGAAATCATCCAGCACTGGCCACATCCTACTTTGTTACCCATGCTCACACTGTGCTTATTTGCTCATCTGATGTCTTTATCAGAACCAACTGCACATCTATGATGCAACTTACTCTCTTTCTGCTACTTGCAGAATAAACACAACTTCTGTCAGGCAGAATTTCAAGAACCTTTTTCCTGTGTTCCAACAATGTCTGTTTTTAAGGCATAGTCATAAATTCTCTTTGGATCACTCCATATTGAGGGAATACAGAACAATGTCCAGGGTGGAGGAAAATCTATTGGGCCAGAGGAGAGACATCTCAGGTCTTCGTGCTTTTGCAGGTCAGCAGAAAAAAACAAAGCCTCCTGCCAGAGTATTTAATAATCTGAACTCCTGTGCACTAGTGTGCTGCAACTAATTACAGCTCTAGTTAGGACACTCAGCGCATGGCCTGTCCACCTTGATCTTCCACCTGAACTGTTTGAACCTCTGTTTCTAGCAGCGAGCTGTTCGTCAGCATGCTGCTCTCCTTTCTTGAGGGGTGTGATACATGTGTCTTAGCAGGTATCCACAAGCAATGCCAGATCCATAACCAGTGTAGCTCTGGATTTAATTTTGTTGGTCTTTTATTTACAGAGTTGAGATTTCAGGAAGGCCAGCACGTCCTATTAGCTCCTTACTAAGCCAGAATGGCATGTAGGGAGAACTACTGTAGATATATAGGGACAAACCTACTGGGTGAGGCTTAGAGCCTCTTGGAGCAGCCTTTAGGACAGGGTATGAGCTGCATGGCTTGCTAACTTCCAGAAGGCTGTTTTATACACAAACAGCCTGTGAAGGGAAGCAAACCCTTAAATCATAGTTGCATGAGATTTTGTAGAGAAATAGGACCTCCTGTTTTGAGTGGCAGGCATGAGAGCATAGGGGCAGGACATAACGTGAGCGTCTGCTCTACCTGAGCAATCAACCTCCATTTGCTGTGTCAAGTTACTGGCTTTTTGAGAGGCTCGATGTCGTTTTCCCCTGTATTTTTCCAGCCACACAATAGTTGTAGCCAGAAGAGTTTTTGCAGCAAGACAGTGGGTCCTGCTTCATATCCCGTCTGTGAGACCAGCCTGTCTGCAGAAGACTTGCTCTGAGATGCTCCCTGCAGGGAAATTGAGAGCAGGTATTTTTTCATTTCAGTTTTCCTTTAGTGTCTAAAAAGAGAGCAAAAGCAAGCAGTGCATGGCTGGTTTTCTCTCTTTTAATGTATAAAATAAGCATTTTTCCATTTTTAAATTATGACAAAAATCATTCCCAGATCTTAATAATTTAGAAGCGTCTTCTAAAGAAGCAAGTCCTAAATTCCACAAAAAGGAAAAACAGTCTCTTCCATTAACCTTAGCAGTTGTTTCCCCTTAAGTAGATCAGGTGCACTCAGACATTTTCCTTCCATCCTACTGTATATTTTCTGTCCAACCATCATGGATAACAGAGGCTTAATAAGACCTACAAAATACATGCAATGCTGTACAGTCAGATACAGCAGTAACAGGCAGGAGATCACAGCTGGGTCCCAGCCAGACTGAAACAGGGTGCAGCTTAACAGTAACTGATTATCCATGTTGATGAATGAGTGATAACCAATGCCTTGTTTTCCTTGCAGTGGACGGAAAGAAAGAAGTCTTGATGAGCTCCTGAGAATTGTATTCAATGCTCCTCAGCCAGCATGGGAATTCCTAGAAGAAACTAAAGGAAGGACATCTTGGCCTGTTCCCCAGGTTAACATGCCCTTTAAGAATCAGGAATATGTACAGTCTAGCTCCCTGCTGTATGTGTAGATCTGGAATGAGCTGAGACTTCAAACCAGTGGTATAAAGTTCACAAACTTGGTGATGTTTCTCAATAACAGTAAGCCTTAAATAAGTAATGTTGCTGATCCTGGGTTTTGTGAGGAAGATACATATTCCCTTGTGACCAAAGCTGGGTGTTCCATGGGGGCAAGGTCATTTCTTCTGAGGACTGGTGACTCTCCGGAGGCCTTTCAATCGACTGAGCAATTCTGTAATGAAGTCCTAGAATGAAAATTGGTTGAAGAAGGGTGTCAGTTCCAGCACTCACCAGCCCACAGTGTGCTATAGCACTTGCATTATTCCCACATTTGCTTTCATGCTGAGCAAAACCCAGAATTTAGCTTAGGGAAGGAGACCTTTTCATGGATGAGAAGGATATAAAAGCCCTTCTATTTCCCATCCCGTCTCCCTCTGGAGCAGCCATACTTTTTCACCATCGGCCAGCCTGCCCTTTCTTCATCCCAGCTACTTTTTTTCCACCTTGAGATGACCTCAAGATGCTGTTGTCCTCTGTTAGGTTCCACTGCTTCCTGTTGCTAACATTACCTCCAGCCCACTTCTGCAGCCCTCCCAGTCTAGGGCAAAGCAAGTTGTCCCTCTTGTAGAACCTGTAAAGCTCCATGTTGTGCATTGCAAACCGTCCCGGAACTGTGCCAATTCTACATGGATGTGGCTGGCAGAGAAGAGGTGGAGCAGAACACACACAAGTCTAATAATAACCTGGAGCAGGGGCTGAGGGCAGGCAGAGCAGATAGTTCAGCAGTTAATGGAGATAAACCCCGACTACTTTGCTGACACAGCCAGGGACTATGAACTAAACTGGACCATCTGGTTATTCCAAGCAGAAGTTAATGTGGCTGGAGTAAATTTTACACTTTGCATGACAATGTAACATCACCATAATGAAGTGTGCAATCTTTCTTCACCCAAAGACAGAGCTACATGTCCTTGTAATTAGGCAAGGTCACTGGAAGTATTGCAGGTTGTTACCATTTGTGCTGTGAGGAAGCACAGCTTCCTCACTCGGCTGAGCAGAGGTTGCCTGCCACAGCATGCCCTGGAAGTAAATGCCTAGGATCATACATACTTTTTCAGTCAGTCCCTTCAGAGGAAACCAGCTTCTTTCCTCTTTCTGCAAATAAGCTACTGTGATCTTTCAAGGGGACTGGATTCAAGATCACCAGGGTGAAAGTACATATATTTGCTAATGGGGCAGCAGGATCTGTTTGTAGTTAGCAAGTACCATGCTGTCCACAATACACTTTCATCAGTCAGTAGAGCAAACTCCAGTTATATCTCTCTGGGAATGTGTGGTTCTTGCCTAAGATCTGAAATTTCCCTAGTGCCAGCCTTGTCTGCTGAGTCCCTGCTAGGAGCCTATCTGTAACAATTGCTACAGTGAAGTTAAATTTCAGTGATAGTTGTGCATCCACCTCATTTTCTGTATCTTCATCACTGTACAGCTGTGCAGGCTTGACAAGATGCAGAGACTGATGAATGATGTCCAAGCACAGGCAATGCATGTGACTGAAGCAGTGATGGGGGACCCCATTTTGCACATGTATGCAGTGCAGTGAAGGCAATTGCTGTGTGGTGCATGCACTACGTTGCAGAGTATTGGGTTCCACTCCTTCGGACATTGTGGCAGCTTGTGGGAGTTCTTTAACTCCCTAACCCAAAACCAGTACTTGTAAACGTCACATGGGAAAATAAATCAAATATGTAAAACTAACTTATATGGCCACTACTCAATAATTATCTGCCCAATCCAGTCTGAGGCCATCCTACGTTCTTGTCACTCATAACAGCAGAGTGGTTTAAGCTGAGAATGCCTTTAGTTAACAGTGTGCAAGATAGTTATGTGACCTGTAATCCCTATCTATGGATTTTCTACACCGAGGTCCAAATAGCAACTCAGGCTGGTCAGTTTAGGATGTCTTAATACATGAAATAAACTTCCTTTGGTTGTAAAGTATTAATTCCTTATTTGCTCCACTGCTCTGCCTTCAGCTCACCCTGTAGATGATGTGGATTTACATGTGTTTTTCTAACACAGCAGAATAAAGCAGCAAACACTTCCCACTGGGAATTAAACAAATCTGCAGCATCATGTTAGGCACAAGAATACTGTGGCTATTCAGTGAAGCAGCAACAAAGACACACTCTTATAGCACAGTATAACATATATATATAGATAGATGGTGCTTTGCTCACCTCTGTCGGGTTGGAGCACTCGTGGAGGATTTCCTAAAAACAAAAACAGGGAAGAGTCATTTCACTCTTTTATGAGTTGACCCCCTGTACAGAAAAAATATATAATCTTACTACATTTGGCAGGCTAAGTCACAGTGAACCATCGTGCAACACTAGATACATATACATGCAACACCACTACTCTTGAAGGAAGTCCCAGCTTAAAGTCCCCAAGTCCCTCTACCAGACCTGTAGTTTTAATTTCTGTTCTTCATTGGGGACCTCCAGGAGATCTTCAAGATCAATTTGTGGTTCAGGAGCTGCTGCCTCTGTTTCCTCTCTTAGCTAAAAAGAAAAGAACAACCCATAGTTAATAAACCTTCAAACTTTAAGAACTCTGGAGGCCCTCTTGAAAGAAGCGAGCAGCTGAGGAGGAACTAAGTGTATAAAACTGTGCTGCAAAGTTGAGGTCAGGATACAAATCATCTCAAAATGAGGAGGTTCTTATAAAGAGGGCACATATTCCTGCCGCTGTCTGGTGTCTGCTACAGCCACACATCCTGATGTACACATTCTTCATCTTTTCCCACCTCAACACTTCATACCACTGCTCAGTGGGAAAACCCACTTGACAGAAATCCAATGGGCTTAATCATAGAGAAGTACAATTAATACAAGAAAATTTTAGGCTGAATAGAGTCACGTAGTTGGTGTTTATACTACGGCTTTTTTGCAGTAACGGAGAGAAAAACAATAATGCTTTTGAGAGGCCTAACAATAATTTGCCAGTTTTCTCTAATAAACATGAGAGGGGTATAATAGTCTCCTTTAATGTGAGAGAAACCCCAAGCTTTGGTGATTGAAGTAATAATCTTGTCGTGCATGGGCATGTTAGTTGGAAACATTTGTAAACTTGATCACAGACACATTTTAGCTCCATGTGTCCTTACCAGACTGTAAGGAAAAGCAGGCTGTGGTTTCCAGTGAATTTGCAAAATGAATCTGACAATGCAACACTAGTGATATTTTAATATTAATAAGCAGAATAAGCATATACTGAGTAAACAGTACAGCACCTGATTGCTGGGTAGCATTTATGGATGTGAATGTAAAACATTAAAGGCAATACTTAGGGGAAAAAAAAAAGAAACTTGTTCCCTGATACCAAGCCAGAGAGGAAGTAGAAAACCTTTATTCAGGTTTGTAATGCAACTGACTTGACAGTTAGTAATAAACCAGATTTAAATATATTGTACTCTGACCCACACAGCATTTCCTTTTAGAAATAATAGTTATAATGTGACTGTTTAAACTAGGTGTTGATCCAGCGTGACTTTGTCTCTGGCTAAGAAGCTAAATAGGCAAGGAGAGTGACAGTGTAGGAACCTATGGATTTTTGGGTCCTAGTATGGACGGTGTTACGGGTTCCATGTGCAGGGCTTAGTTTTGTTGCAAAAAGGCCTCATGACAGTAAATAGCATAACATTCATGTTATCTGTATCAGGAGGCAATGCTTGAACTAACCTTGCTGCATTTGCACCTAGAGTCAGTTCATTCTGACTCTGGAGAGGGACTCTTCATCAGGGACTGTAGTGATAGGACAAGGGGTAATGGGTTTAAACTAAAACGGGGGAAGTTCAGGTTAGATATAAGGAAGAAGTTCTTTACTGTGAGGGTGCTGAGGCACTGAAACAAGTTGCCCAAGGAAGTCGTAAATGCCCCATCCCTGGCAGTGTTCAAGGCCAGGTTGGACAGAGCCTTGGGTGACATGGTCTAGTGTGAGGTGTCCCTGCCCATGGTGGGGTTGGAACTGGATGATCTTAAGGTCCTTTCCAAGCCAAAACATTCTGTGATTCTATGATTCTATGTCACACGGGTTTCTGGAAGATACTGAGAAACATTGCACTGCCAAGGGTTGATGGAACAAAGGAAGAAGCTGACAAAAAGACAAAGTAATGGAAATCAATGGATCCAAGGAAGCCCAGACTAGCAGGGCAAACTGAATAGCCTTCCCACAATGCACGGGAGGATCTGCTGGACACCTGAGTGATTACAAGAAATCTGCTGTGGCACATGTATTTAATGGAAGAGATCCTGTGTAACGCCCAGTTGTACCCTCTGACCTGGCACAGCATCATGTTGTGTAGTTCCTGATAGGAAATCTCTTTGGTTCGCCCAAACACACCAGGAAGTTGGGAAACCTGTTGTGCAGGAGAGGTGCTAGCAAAGGCAATCTGCTGGCAATCTATTCCTGTAAGGGCATGGCTGGATTTCGCACTCGTGCCTGCTGGGATTTTGTAGTAGGGAGGAAAATACACCCTTTGGGCAGCTACTCTGAACACAGTGAACAGCTCCCAATTCTGAGAAAACCAGAAGTGATAACGTAACCTGGTTTGGTTTTCTGACACCTTTACAAGAGTACATCTGTAGGCGTGGGCAAGTAAGAGAAGCACATGGGGATCCTCATCTTGGATCATCTTGGCATTGGTGGTACCAAGTGCTTCTCAACTATCTCAACAAAAAACCCATACAAACCCAAACCTCCTCTTTAAAACTGCAATAATTTGCCAAAGAACTAGATATTCTGATACTCAAAGCAGCAGCCATTCTCATTGCTTATCTCTGGCAAATCTCAACAGTCAGGTAGACCCAGGGGACAGTCCCTTAAATGCCAGTGCAGGCAGGTCAGCAAGTGATGCCATCACTGGCACTGTTCTTTTGAACAGCCATCACTCACCAGGACCACCACTAGCACTGCACAGACATGCTGAATGTTGCCTGTCTGACTAGGTCTAGGTCATGTGTGTTTTCTGCTCCTATATACAATACGTGATCATAGAATCAGATTCACAGAATGGTTTGTGTTGAAGGGACCTTAAAGCTCATCCAGCTCCAACCCCCTGCCACAGGCAGGGACACCTTCCGCTAGAGCAGGTTGCTCCAAGCCCCTGTGTCCAACCTGGCCTCGAACACTGCCAGGGATGGGGCAGCCACAGCTTCTCTAGGCACCCTGTGCCAGCGCCTCAGCACCCTCATAGGGAAGAGCTTCTGCCTAAGAGCTCATCTCAATCTCCCCTCTGACAAGTTAAAGCCATTTCCCCTTGTCCTGTCACTACATGCTCTTATAAAAAGTCTCTCTTCATCTTTCTTGTAGGCCTCTTTTAGCCACTGGAAAGCTGCTCAAATGTCTCCCTGGAGCCTTCCCTTCTCCAGGTTGAACAAGCCCAGCTCTCTCAGCCTGTCTCTATAGGAGAGGTGCTCCAGCCCTCTGATCATCTTTGTGGCCTCCTCTGGACTTACTCAAGCATTATTCATAGTAAATTATCAAGAGGCCTAAGGTGCAGCTGAGAATGTATTAATTACTATCATTTTATGAACTATATAAAACAACTGGAAATTCAAAATTAAGTCTTGAAGAGATTATGAGCTTTTATCCTTTGTCATTTTTACTAAACAAGCTGTAAAATTATTCAGAAAGTCTAAGAATGTTAAGTAACAGAACAGGAGCAGTAATATACTAATTTTCAGAGGAGCCATGCACCTGTGACAGAAGGAAGGACTTTTCTCTCCACGTTTGTTTTCTACTGCATGTTCTTTGCATATGGCATAAATTAAAATAGAAATTAACTGGTTTTCCCTCCCAACGTGGCATTAGAACCTTCTATGTTCCCACAAATACCAAATAGGAAACAGTCACACAGAACAAAGATTATAATAACAATACTAATAACAACAACAACAATGATAATAAAGACAGTGTTAGAGACAGTTCCTGAAGTCTGGCTCTTCAGCCATGGAGCTGACATCCTTCCATGGCTCTCAGGCCGAGAAAAGCAGCCTGGGCAGGCAAAAGCTTCTCTGTACCACAGAATCCCAGAATGGTTTGGGTTGGAAGGGACCTTAAAGCTCATCCAGTTCCAACCCCCTGCTAAAGGCAGGGACACCTTCCACTAGAGCAGGTTGCTTCCACCTGGCCTTGAGCAGCCACAGCTTCTCGAGCATGTATTATTTCGTCTTTCTTGCCCTGCTGCAAGTAGTATGTTCAGACTGCAGCTACAGATACAGCATTATCCAGTGTCTCATTCAAACAGCAGCTACAGCTACACTGTTGGAATAAGCCTACATGGATATCTCTAACCCAGCTTGCCTACCTACTGCTTGCAGCAAAGCCACTCATCACGTGGAGCTCAGCAACAGGCAACATCCCGGCTCTGTACATCTCTCTAGGTTCTGCTACTTGTGTGAGCAATGGCTACACCCCCAGCAGGTACAAGACTAGTTGGATTATATTGCTGCAAGCTTCTCCAACAGCAGACACACCAGTCAGAGAGTGCTGTAGCAGGTGGCAGTAAGATACCTAATGAAGATTGAAGTTTAGGAGCTACTTCCAGTAAGTCTGAGCAAGCACACTTCTGTCTAAGCACACAGGACCTCTAGTGCCATTCACCCGATGAGTGAGGGGCTGATCTGCCCCAGCTACTCACCCGGCACTGGTACAGCTCCTGCAGCTGGGTGTTGATCCATTCCTCCAGGTCTAGCCAGCGCTGTAGGTCTTTGCGGTTGTACTTGATGGTTAACTTGCCCAGTTTCCTGTGTGATGATTCCTCCCCAGGTTTCTCTGGTGTCTGGAAAGTCACCCGGGGCAGTGCGCTGGAGTTGCTGGCCATGCTCACCTCCCTGACAGCAGAAACTCCTTCCTGTGGGCTCCTTCACTCCTTTTCTCTGTCTCCTTTAACCAACCCCTCTCTGCAAACAGTGGCCCACAGCACAAGCTACTCCCAGATGTGGAAAGCAGGATGCATTGGTGATCCCAGGGAGAGAAGTGGGGAGCCCACACAGCCGGGGCAGCAGCCAGGCACTGCAGGCAGAGTTACAGCAGCAGATTCTTGGGTTTCACCATGGGCCGTGCTGACAGGAGCGGGGAGGGAGGCAGAGGAGTTGTTGTAACTACATCTGTTGTTAAAAGAAGCCAAGTGAACCAGGGAATTGATGAATCAAGTCTGTTAATATTTAACGCACGGCAGCTCCAAGAGGAGGGGAAGAAGGAGGTTTTCAGTTACTGTTTTCCTACAGGCATAACTTAGGTACATGTGCAGTTCCAGAGGGCTGATCCGTACGTAACACATTGAATCCTGCTGTGTTCAAGCTTCTGTAAACTACTTTGTTACAGGGTTTAGCTCCCATCAAAATGGTGTTTTTGGCATTTTCTGGCTAAAGCACAGGTAAGAAGTGGTCTTAGGTCAGGTAGCTACATCCACTATTTACAGAGTGGGAATAATAGGTCAGTGACACTGAAGCCAAGCTTGGGCTCAGCAGTCCTGTTTGACATTGTTCTACAGTCTGTAAATCTGTTCCAGCTTTCTCAAAAATTGCTGTAGAAACACTGGTGGCCTGAATTTGAGATCATTTGAGCAAAGTGCTTCTGAGAGAAAACAGAGTATCTGTGCTCTTAAGTAAACCAGTATTTGACATGATGATACTGGAGGGGAAGGGTGCTTAGGGATACAGCACCATTTCCTCCCAGAGAAAAGTACTTACAGTAAACAGACTCACCTGCTGAAGCATCATAAACTGCTATTTTACTGTATCACGGTTGGGTTTACAATCTCTTTCTTACTGGAAGGTGGGTTAAAGGTCTGCAGTGTTACTGCTCTCTGCCATTTCAGAAGGATATGTGTGAGCAGCACTGTTCAGAGCAACACAAATCAGGCTAGCTGTGTTTATGGTGTGCCAGGGCACTGGGACATCTGCGTTCCCTCCAGATGCTGTATCACACAGATTCCTTGTTCATCCATTCCCAGAGACCTGCCCAGGGATGACATGGAACAGACAAACCAGCTGAGACCCTCCATCATGAAGCAGATCCACCAACCCCAGCCTTATGATCTAGGTGGAAAAAGCACATCTCTGCTGCTCCTGGAAGCCAAGGTACTTCCAGTTCGGAGACCAAGAGCTAGATACACCAAAGGAAGAGCAACCAACCCTTCTCCCACTGACAGCGACTGCCAAGCAGCATGGTAAGTCTGCAGAGGGGCTAGTCTCCTCTGGGCAGGCAAAAGTTTATCTGTACCATAGGATCATAGAATGGTTTGGGTTTGGAAGTTCCAGTTGCCTAGCCAAAGCCCAATTCCTGTGCCCAGAGGGATGGTGGTACAGGCAGCCAGCAACATCTTGTACACAGGGGGATAGAAAAATGGGCAGAGCCATTCCAGCCCTTCTTTTCATCCAGCCTTTTCTGATGGAAAAGTATTCCACAAAATACTGATCCTGAAACTTGCTTTCACATCAGTGAGGGGTAAAGCATTAAAGTATACCTGTAGGTGTTATCATCTCCTCTGCTTTTCAGACAGCCTAAAATTTCTATTCAGAAGACAGCTGTCAGGTATTGAATTTAAGCAGCTTTTCCCATTTCTCCTCATTTGGCTCCCTCTAATCTCACTCTTAAAACTGTTGTGAGAGGCTCAGACCATACCCAGTGAGTGCAGATTCTTCAGAGATTCTTAAGAATTAGAAACTTTGCAAAATCCATTGACCATCCTATAGTGTATTTACAACTATTGACTTTTCAGAGGTTAATATCCTGGCCCAACATAGGCAGATTTTCACAAGGTAGGTCTGGACCAAAGTGGACACGCTGCCAGAAGTCAACTTTCCATCTCCAAATACAAGTGCTCTATTTTGGTGTTCATGGACTGGTATTTTTTAACAGGGGAAAATAACCTACATTTCTTTGGTCCCAAGAAACTATGACAGGCTGGCATTAAGACCAGAGTAAAAGGACCAGACTTAGAAGTTACCTGTCTGCAGCTGAGCAGTTTGCTTAACTCTACATGAAAGATAGGGTTTGCCCTGTTGATCCTCTGCTGCATAGTTGAATTTACAAAGCACAGGATCCAGAGGTCATAGGGTAGGTGTGAGGCAGAGGGAGAAGGGAATATAACCTGCCTTAATGGCTCTTCAAACACTTTGAGCTGCTGTTGACTTGTAACCTCACTTGAGTATGAGCAATGCACTGAGATACCACATCTGAAAAGGACCACAGACAGACTCACCCCACTGTCCGTGCTCTATCGACAAAGTAAGCAGAACCCAGTGCCTTTGTGCTGCTCTATCAGTGTCACCCTACAATGGAATAAGACATTCCGAAGGTGATGTCAGAGGCCCTCTCAGGAAACTGCAAACAAAAATGAGCCAGATTACAGGATGTTCATCATACTGCTTTGGCTTATATGAGCTTAGTCATGGATTATTTGTAATGAGAAGGTGGCAATATAGAAATAAAGGTTTACAGATAAGGTGGACCTCATCCAGTAATAAACTATTTTAATGTATCATTCAAGCAAGAGGAAGAAACAAAACGTGTGCAAGATCACTGCCTGAGGGTGCGGTAGAAATACAGGATTGGGTGGCTCATACAGGGTAAGGGATATTGTCCCCTTTGAAGGAGGCAGCATCTCCTATGGGTGCACCAGCCATCTGCCAGTGCTGCTAAGTGCCAGTAGCCACCGAGCAAGAAGAAGCTGCATGACTTTTTGCACAGTGCTGCATCCCATCCTGTCCTCTCCTTGCCTCACAGCAGATTCTGGTGGCCACAGGGGCAGAAAGACATTCACCATTTTGTCTGGACATGCACAGCAGGGGGATCTCAGAGATCTTGGGCATAGCTTGGAGATGGGATCTTACTTTCAACCTACCTATGTCTCCTTATAGCCTTGGGCATACAGCCTGTACCAAAACTTTAGAAGCGAACACACATACTTGGGCAACTAAGTCATCTAATCAGACAACCTGTTTGTTCACCAGAGCTGCACACACATAAGCTCCAATGGACCTCCTGCTGCAGTTGCTGGTGATCGTGACCTCTGCAGACATGCTTATCATTTATGTAGTGAATAAAGAGGGCTTAAACATGGCCAAGGCATTTGAGCGTTAGACTGAAGCACTGTGCCTGTTTCCATGTGTGTGACCTGCGGTTGCTGCTCTTCCAGGCCTGCCCTAAGAGGGAGGTCTTGACTCTGAAAAGGAGGGGGGATTCCATACTGCGAAGCTGGGCTTTTGTGACTGTCTCTGGCTCCAGAGAGGGCCACCAAACCAAGATGAGCATCTGTGTCATAGTACCAAGCAGCTGTGACACAGATGCAGATAGCAGATCACAAGTGCATGAGGCAGATCAGTTGCACTCCTCTGTTCTTGAAGCTAATAATGTCCATCCCACACCTGTGACCTAAGCTGGTGCTTCTCTTTCTCTCTGAGCTGATGATTCTGGTGTGTGTTCAATAATTCAGCAGGGCCCCAGCTCATCTTTCCAGAGATTCAAGTCGGCCCATTTCCCTTTGAGCACTAGGCTAGAGAGGAACGTTTCCCTTCAGGACAGCCAGAAGCCACTCGCCACCTGGTTTAGAAAATAATCACTTTCCCTGTGGTTGCAAACATGATAGTTAACACACATTAAACCAGGGAAGACAGCAGAGGTGACTGTATCAACACTGTGTTGACACTACAAGGTAAAGAGGTTCCGCACCCTCCTGTGAGCAGGAACAGGCACAGAAAAAGGTTGTGCAGAACAGAAAACGTAGCAAGGACTGGAGATTTAAAGAGTCAGAGCCCCAAACACCCACCACCCCCCCATCCTGACATCCACCATCCACTTCCACAGGAGTGTGGAAAGCAAAAAGGCTGCATTGTGTCCCCAGAAATCTAGCAAGAGGAGGGAGAGCACATCATCTCTCACCTTCAGCTCCTGGAGATTAAGGAAGCAGCCAGGGGTTTCCAGCTCACAGATTCCCCACCTCTCACCTGAGCAGTGCTGATACCTTCTCCCCAGCACACAGAGAGGACCCTATATACTCTTCAGTAATAAGTAATCAGTCTTACTCCTCTCCCCCAACAGTCTCGCCTTTCATAAGGCAATGAAAGAGCCGCGAGAAGGAGGAATGGCGAGAGACAGAAGAAAACATTTCCCAACTTAGTATTTGACTGATCAACCCCAAATCACAGTATTTGGCACCACCTCAAAAAATGGACAGGTCTCAGCAACAGGGAGGAGAGCTCAGAGGAGCTGGGCTGCCACCCTCCTGCCTCTGTTACTGGCAGGGGCGGGGAGGG